GTAAAAGGGAGAGATCCCCTAGGGGCAAAGCCGTTGCAAACAAGCTTGAACGAACAAAGTGATGGACCAAGTCTTTTCCTGATGGGTTGTGCCACGACCAAGGAGAAAAAAAAAAAAAAAAACCGGGATTATGTGTGATGAGAAGTCTTTCGTCGCATCTTCCAGGCGTTGTCAGAATAAGCTGGGTCCCCTATGGTGGTAAAGGAAGAGTGCGGGGAAAGATATATAGATGTCGAAGGGTCTGGCAAGGCGTGGATTCCAGGAGGGGACGTCTTGTAGCAGGTATAGCGAATGGTTGTGGACGATGACCGAGTCCCACTCTGGCGTTTTCTCTCTTGCTCTCACGCACAAGTCAGCAAGTGAGGAAGCAAAGGTAATGAGGCGTACGGGGGTTGAGCAGCAGGTCGAGCTAAGTAGCCTGTAAGGCAGGTAAGTAGCTAGATACCAGGCAGGTTGCAAGTATGGCGGTTGTACTGGTACGGGTTGGACCCAGGTATTGTACACGGGAGACCTCGAAGCATGCAGTGGCAGGTGTAGGATTTTGCGAGGAAGGGGCGGGTAAGGTATGGGCCGCCGCCGCCGTTTTGTGACGGTCTGTGAACCCACGGCAGAATGATGAGGTGGCAGCCGTATGCAAGCTGCTCCTATTTGGGAACCGTCCAGGATTGGAGAGTAAGGGGAGGGGGCAGCTCGGTGATCCACCCTGACGGCCAAGAGACGTTGGATACGTTGGATACGTTGGGTGGAAGCCGCTCGGTCCAGTGAGTACGGGTACTTGGACTGCTGGGTTCGAATTGGCCCGTCGGATGCTGTAGCTAATAACGGCGTTGTGTGGTATGAAGCGCTGCAGTATGATCCCTTGGTTTCCTGTTGAGGCGGGCTCCCGTTTTGCTACCTCAACCTCGGACCTTCCTTGCTTGATGGCTTGCCCAGAGCCTAATTTACGCGAACCGGCGTTTGCGCTTCTGGGTACGTAGCAGGTATCCGCGCTGCGCTTCGTGGTTGAGCCGCCCAGACCCTGATGTCGTCTTCCTTCTTTGGGTAGTGGTGAGCTTGGAGAATGGGCAAGCAGCTTGAAGGGCCAGGGATGCGCCCACTAGCAGCGGTATACACCACGTAGTTAGTAGCAGGAGGAAGAGGCAGAATCAAGCTGGAAAAGTGGTGAGAGCCTCGAGGAAGCCGGCGGGAGATAGTAGAGTGACAGGTCGGCGGTGACGGGGCTGTTAACGGCGGCAATGATAGGGTAGCCAGGTGATGGTGGAGCAGCGTCGAGTTTCTCGTTTTCAGAGAGAGGAACAGAAAGTGGATAAATCCATTGATGACTGGCACTGATGAGGCGGGTTCTGTTGCAGTGGACCTTCGAGATGACTGAGCTGGATGCTGGACGGAGAGCTAGAGCTGGGAGAGGTGTCGAGAGAGCCGCGCAAGAGTCAGCCAGGATTGTACGGTGTGTGGCCGCCGGTACAAGTGATTAGGATGAGAAAGAGGTGGATGGGCGTCGTAAAGTACCACGTAGCGTATAGATAGATATGTGGATATGGACGTATTGTGTATGGTTCGGGATAACAAGCGACGGTATCAAAAAAGGTGCATGTATTGCTTGGGGCGCAATGTAGTGTGTCGAGGTACAGTAGTATTGCAAGTCGGTAGTGGTCGGGTGTAACTGCCCTTGCCCTGCCCCTACCCTGGGGGTTCCGTTATGGTCTGAAATGCAACTGAAGAGATCAAAAAGTGGAAAACCCGATGGAAGCAGAATTTCAAAGTTGGAGTCGCAGGTGGGTTCAGTGTCGGTGCAGTAATCGACGGCATTGAGCAGCTGAAATGAAATTTTCACGTACTGTGCCCGCCGTGTATCGAATTCGAAGGTGAGTGGCCCGAGTCGAGGTGATGTCGTAAAGGTGAGGTTTCGTCGAGCAAACCTTATTGGCGTCGTAGTGGTTGCGGTGCAGGCGGGAGCGAGGGTGGCCGAAATACGATCGGTGCTTCTTTTGTTCAGAATGCTTGCTTTGTGTTGCTTCTGTCCGCCGCAGTGGTCCTAATCCTGGGAGCTTGGGGCAGAAGGGGGCCGCCTACTACTATCCATACTGGACATCCACATCGGTGGAGACTCGGAACTAATGAGGGTGGGTAGTACCTAGGAAGGTGCGCCCCCAGATTACAAGTGTCAGACTGCGGTGCACAGTGCCACCGCAAGAGTGAACAGTGAAAATTACAGAAATGCAAAAGCATAACGGAGAAATACTTACCAGGACACCATACAGAAAATATTACAGGGAATTGGCGCTCTGTATTAGCGTAAGCTGTATGTTCCATCCTACCACCCACCGCATCTTCTCACTTGTAACGAAAATGTTTTATAGATGATACAACTTAAGGCTTACTAGCCAATCCAGTTGGCATATTGCTGCATATGCAGCTAAGAGCAAGCTCAAAACGCCCGCACAAGGTGTGGCCTTCTTCCCCGATTGAGGAGTTCCGTTACAAGTGAGAAGATGCGGTAACCTACAGTGGTGCGTACCAGTCCAGTGGTTGCATGTCAAAGCGTGGAGGTTCCGCGGACCTTGGCAGCGGAGGCAAATGACGGAGCAAGGGATTCCCACGAACCTATTGCACGCGAGCGCTATGCCAAAACCCGCACGAGTTTGGACGGAATACGGCAGCTGTGGGCAGCAATCTTTGCAGCAAAGAAAATTCTGAAAGCACGCCCAGAGCTCCCTCTTCCAATTGCGACGAATGCCCAGGCGTGCCAGGCTCATTGTGCCTACCTAGCGCATCCGTATATCCGAAATACTGTAGCGTCGAGCTTCTACCTTCCCTTCTCCTTTCCATCATTCCTTCCCCTTTCTTTCATATTCACTACTTGGCCCCTCCCGCCTTCCTACTCCCAATGTCTGTCTGACTGCAGTGGATGTCCACGTCGTGTGGCCGAGAGTTAGGCTGGGAGCTATCCGTCTCATACCTGAGCGTATGGGGGTGAATTGGGCTACAACGGTAGCCTCATTACCTTCCATGGCACCCCCTCACTGGATGACAGGGCCGTCGCGGATGATCTACACTACATAGTACATTGGTTTAGGTTCATCAGGGACTCGTGGGGAAGACTGGTAAGACTAGCATCTCTCCAAATCCATCGGAACATTTCACAGTCGAAGCCGATCAGATGAGCTGTCCCGGGTCGTCCAAGTCTTTCCCTGTCCCTGTCGCCAGGGCTACCGCAAATTTGGATGAACGCTGATAGGCGACCTATGAACGGGGCCAGGTACGTACCGCTGTTTTTTTCCTTCAGCTCGCTTCAGTGCAGTGAGGTCAGACGTGCGCCGTCAGGCACTGCTTGTAACGATCGTTCAGGAGCCCCCTTTTGGTGTTTAGTGTATGATGGACAGCAACTGGGATGGGAGAAAATCCCCCTAAACGGTGCCACATTGACCCTTATCGACGAATCACGTCTGATTGGGACTTGGTTCCTTGACTTCTGTCTGTCGCCCTAACCACAGACTGTCTTTCAAATTATAGACTACACGTGCCTAGCAAAGGGTGTGAAATTATCTCACACACGAGGCCCCCCGCAATGTGCCAAGGTACGTACTCAGGCTTCAAAGACATTAGATCCAAATGAGGTGGGTGCAGGCACGACTGTGATTGATGATAGGCTGGTTGGTGAGTGACAGTCGCGAAATTCATCGAATTGACATAAAGCTGCCGCAACCAATCGGGTACCGAATTGGAAACAAGACGAGGACCAAACGGTAACCTAGAGTCCTTGTCCGTAATATATCTCCTGGTGCCGGCCATGCGGTCCCGGGCCGTCGACTTCGATGACTGTCATCACCCGGCGCCTTGTTCAGCTCGAGCCTGATGGGGTTCAAACGCTGGGTAGAAGAAAGATCGAGACGGCTCTGCAAGATATGAATCAGGGCATCCAACGAGATGGTTCTTTGTTCTCCGCCCTTACTCCGAACTGACGGCCCTGGTACGTACGTCTGATTCTCGGACAAGCCAGGTATGTAAGTGAAGTACTCCGTCATACTGAACGCAAAGAAAGGTAATTTGTTCCATCCTGATGGCAGATCATACCGTATGTTCATGATCCGTCTCCTCTTCCCCATTGACACTCTGAGACACTCAAGTTGACCCCACGCCGGATGCCTTCAAGTTCCTCTTCCTATGCAGATCGCTGCTGCCACTTATGGACAGAGGAGAGGGGTCAAGGCTCCAGGGATGACCTGATGTTTACCTACCCCAAATGACCGAAGCCTAAGGTATCAAGATCAACTGAGGGAAGAATCAGCAATTCTGAAACATGAGTCTTGGCAGGCGGGAAATCACCATTGAAACGGTTTTGTTGAAAGAGACGGCGTGATCTCACTGTCACTACCCATTATTAGATTGGCTGTCGCAGTTACCTAGCCCTTTAAGTTTTTCACCCCCCACACTTAGTTGCAAGGAGGATTTTGGCTAATGATCGTCAGATCTCTCGTGCATTTCGACACTCGTGTTATCAAATCGTCACCTCGCGCACAAACAGATCAATATCGCTGGGTATCAAGAGAGTTGCCCTACGGGACCTGTGTTCCTTCCATTCACCTACACTAAACTACCTTCGGTTACCAAAGCACGAATCCTGTCGCTCATTTGAGGAAGCTGAGCCGAGCCGACTTCATTCTCAGAATCAACAATTCCCAACCGTATCGAATTTCCATGCGGCACGGACGGGGGTCTGTCTTGTCTATACCTCGTGACAGACAAGAATTTCTCAGCGCTCTTCCGTTACCCACATGGTGATCCAAGTATATGGGTTTTCAGGGAGCCACAGCCCCTGTTGACCGTTGTACGATTGAACAAACCCGCAAGCCACTCACTGATGAGCCGCCGTAGTCATGGAAGAAATTGAAGCGAGAGAAGGCTCCTCGGGCTATCGCGCGTTTCGATTGGAGGTAGTATGGTACCCGGGATGTGATGCAGCAGGATCTTCAACAGCACGTTTCACGGGTGAGGACCAATCATCTGGAGCTCACCCATGTGGTTGTAGCCGCGGCATTCCCAGAAGTTGACAAACAGGGAACTACAGCGCCATCTCCCTCTCTCCCCGTCTTCGATGCCGGGCACCCGGTCGCGAGGCCCTTGTCAATAACATGCGGCTGAGCAGTCCTGAATGTCTTCATGCCAATGGGGGGTTTTGACGCAAGGTATGTAAAGGATGCTGGTATAGTTTGGCCAAGTCGCCGAAACGGAAAACGGACAAGGTAGCCTCCAACGCGACTCGCTCCTCGCCGAGTCTTGGTTTTGATATTCTCACATCCGTCAAATACCTTCATCCGTTGTCTCAGATTGAGTGACGAGGGCCAGCGAAACATTCCCTCGCGGAGCCAAATTCACATCAGCAAGCAGCCGACAGCGCTTCTTTCGGATACGACCAACTTTGGCAGCACTAATTAGCTGAGCAGCACGCCAACGGCAGGTTTCGACCGAAGTTGCTGCCTCCTAGCATAGAAGTCAAGGCAGCTGCTGCTTGCTTCCTGTAGTAACTCTTTATCTTCACACCGATGGATTTAATTCCCGGATTCCCGGGTACGTACATACACGATGCAAGGGCTGACGGTGGCCCATTGGTACCCGATAGCTTCATACATACAGACCATTTCCGACTCACCGACATTTTGCTACAGCAGCCTCTGGCTTTTGTGTTTAGCGCCAGAATGTTGGTTTATGAGGCCATGACTGAACGCCGAAGTTTAGGTGAGCACCACGAACCCAATTTTCCAGCAAATAACCAGTACGAGACGCAGCACTTGTTCGTTACGGGAGCGTGCCATGAGTGCTAACTATTCCGCACTTCCATTTATCTTCAGATGCCAAGAAGTATGCTGCGACTCGTGTGAACTTTACGCCGCAAATATGATAAGCATGTCTCGCAACTTTCGACGCTTTCAAGCCTTGAATCCAAATGATAATAACTACGTATGACGGATAGTCCCGATGATCAGTGCCTGGGTTCTGAGCGGCCACCGTTTGATGCCAGGTCAGAGGTGTCAAGCACGGCGCTTGACAAAGTCAGCCGCCCCCGGCCGACCGGCCGGCATGTCGACACCCCCTGCTATCGGACCACGATCCGTGGCGCCGCACTCACTGGGCTGTCGTCGGTTGCCCCTCGCTCCGGGTCCGCGACAAGACCGACTCGGATACCAGACACCGCAATTGACCGAAATAACCCTACTACTGCTTGTTTTCTTTCATGTCGGATTCATCCTCCCCAAACACAATCTAGCGGATCGGGGAAAGCACCTGCATGCCGGAGCGCCAATGTGGCAGACGTGGCTGGCAAGCTTAGCGTACCACTCAACAATTGGCGTAGACTGGCAAGTTCCAGCATGCGGATGACTTGCAGCGGATGGCAAGACAGTACAGGCCTCTAAACTTCAATACCGTAGAGACTCGCGAGATTAGCAACCGTCAATCTCCTCTTTTGAGCGGCGGGCAGGGCCGAACGCGGCGCTCCGTAAAGCCATCATATGCTAGCAGATGTGTCTGTCCACATTCAGTTAGTGAACACTCGAAGACATTGCCCACCACTCCAACTTGCGTGCGTTTCGATAATGCATAGAATCGGGCTTGCCCTGTAAAGTATATGCTCTGCCCGGCGCCCAAAGAGGGAATTGACGGTTGCCAATCTCGCAAGTATCTACGGTAGCCCTAGAAAGTGCAGTAGCCGGTGAAAAACGACACGAATGAAAACGAGAAACAAACAAAAAAGAAAGAGAGAAAAGAAGGCGGTATCTTCTTGCTAGTACAGTCGGGTCCCCTGTTCAAGCAACCCCCAGTACGAGCAACCCCCCCTGTTGTAGCAACCCCTATAGCGAAATCTGGCATTTTTTGCCTAGTAAGCGCAACCGGACAACTAGCAACCCCGGAGAGACAGATTTGCTGTTAATTTGTATGGTGAATCGGAAAAACGGGGTCCGCAATAAGGGAAAATTGGCTTGGCATGCCAGTTTTGGTGCATTTTTTTAGGCGGCCTGGAAGGAAAATGGTCTGTGCACGACACCACTTCCAGCAAACCCCCCTGTCAGAACAACCCCTTTAGCCAAATTTTTGGGGTTGCTGGAACAGGGGACCCGACTGTAGGTAAGTATCTGCACAATTCGGCGGTCACTGTGCGTCACACACTTCCAGTTGGGCTTCCGCACGGTGGTGGAGCGTTGAATGCCTTCGAATCCCAACAAGACCGCTGATTCAACGACCACGCGCGTTTCAAGTCGGCCGATCTCCTGTACGAAAACCCCTTCACAAGAGGAGTAAAAACAAGGCGTTGACAACAAACTGGGTTACCTGCTATGCCTCTGTCATCCAGAAACGGCCATGCTAGTTAGACAGTACATTGCATGGTAATATACGAATTACTGTTTCGTCTAGTACCTAGAAGCTGGCTGTGGAATTTCTACAAATGATATATCAGTTTGGTTTTTGTCAAAAACGCGTAAACCCCTAAACGTCGAGTTCCCCACTCGTTGCGTCATTGTTAGAAAAGGTGATCAATATTCTATTGATACCCCTGATCTAGATCTCCTGATTGTCGGATACTCCTTGTCCGGCCAATAATGCTTGGTATTGTTACGCTTGGATCTGGCGATGGAAGCTTCGTCTTCGAACCAGCCATACCAGACCGCCGGGCCTTCACTTACACTTTGGCGATGCAGACAGGTTCTATCAAGACGGCGGAAAGACAAGAAGCACAATCCAAACATGGTTATGATCTCTCCACCATGTGGAAGTCTGTTGTAGATGCTTCGGTGGTTGCATTGTAGTGATCCCACGTTAGTCCGTTTTTAGATACACAGTGTCCTTCTTTGACAAGGCGAAATTACACCTGCCCAAACATGTAATCAGCTTCTGTCTTCGAGCCTTGTCTACCTACGGATTATCTCATAGCACCCCATTTTTAGGTGCGATGGCGAGACCGTGTGCACTACTTCGATTAATACTGGTTCTACTAAGATTCCACATTCCCTTGATCTTCGGTTCCTTAACTGCTACCGCGCTCTATATTCGGCATCCGTGTAAGAACAAGTATCATATCTCCTATGCTCGGTCTAGCTCTCTCAACTTTGTCTACCGTCACTTACATCCCACATCTGAGAGCAACTGTCCCCCAACCCACTACACTAGAGTATGTAACAAGAACATTGTGGGAAGGAGACGGGCTATCCCGTCGTTACAGGTGGGGTTTTATGGATCCGCCATGTGACTCTGCCGTTGCGAATGTAGTAGTATCACCTCGAGACTGTGCGAGTTTTCAGACGAACAGAAGACACCTTACTAGGTGCCTACCAGAAATGGATTGCTTTTGCGACTCATCATGTCCATCACTGTACGTCAATAGTATTCCTTCCGATAGAAAAGCCCCCCCCCCCCCCCCCCAAAAAAAAAAGGGGAAAAAAAAAA